TACATGAGATCAGAAACTCACATGGCCAGAATAGCTGAATTCGACGGAGGCAATTTTCACTCATTGCTAGTAAATTTCACAAATAATTAAACAAAGAAATAGCAAGTAACACACTGAATTAAACTTGACATTTTAAAGTAGAAAGACTGAAATAATATGTATTCTGTATGATAATAATTTCAATTTACTTTTATTTGTCTTAAGTTGAACACACTTTGTTACCCTAGTAGCAAATTGTTTGTTGTTAAGCATAAACCTCATAACTTGCTTGATTTATGGGGAAAACTTTAGTTTGTGGACCAATTCTCACTATTAACTAACTATTAACTGAATTTTGCCTCAATAAATTCTTAATTTGCTGCTTATTAATAGTTAGTAGGGTAGTTGTTAAGGTTAGGTATGATTAAGGGATCTAGAATATGGTCATGCAGAACAAGGCATTTAAGGTGGGGTAAGTGATTTTTCAAAAACGCTTTAGAAAACTGATTCGGGCCGACTAGAAAAACAAACTTGTAGCCAATCAGCAGTAAGGGGCGTGTCAACTCATGATGTGGAGGAGAGAACGTTCAGTGCACAGGACGGACATTAGCGAGCCGAGCAACAGAAAGATAGAGATGGCGGATAAAAAAACAAAAGAGGAAAACGTCTGCGGAACAAAAGAAGGCTTAAGGCAAGAATTAGGACCCGTGTAAATATTGGATCAGCTTTCCAGCACTGGAGAGAACTCAAGGAGCGGAGGGCCTGCAATCAGACGCCGAGGTTGCTTTGTTTCTTCTCGATAGGTGAGTAACACCGTGTCTGCGCCGCAACAGCTAAAGTCTGTCTAGTACACTGGACGCGACAAAGCGACCGTTGAAAATCATTTGAAATTTGTGTCAATACGTCATGAATAGAACGCAGCAGCAGTTTTCTGTCGGGGATTTGTCGTGTCGTGCTGCGCCGCATCCAGTGAAGACCATAGATATGTATATATATATATATCTATGGTATAGACAGTATCACTGATTATAATGAGTTCCATAGTATTTTGTCGCGCCGCGCCACTCGCGTCCGGTGTAGACACGGTGTAACATTGGTTTTGTTTCACAGAACTAATCGTTGCCTGGGTTGCGTACGTATGTGTGGGGCGGAGCTATCAAAATAGGGCCGAGACAGTGTAACATTGGTTTTGTTTCACAGAACTAATCGTTGCCTGGGTTGCGTACGTATGTGTGGGGCGGAGCTATCAAAATAGGGGCGAGACCCTTTTGGGGGTAGGTGCGTGTTTGTTTTGGTGATTTCAAATGTCAACATTGGCTACCAGAAATCGCTTACCCCACCTTTAATATGCGCTTTATAATAAAAGGTCAATATGCTAGTAATATGAATGCTAACAAGCAACTAGTTAATAGTGAGAATTGGTCCTTAAAGTGTTACCAATTTATTTTCTTTTAAAAGCCAGTAGTGTAAGACAAATACATTTTAAGATCTTAAAAATATTTGACAATTCTGTTTCTTATTTCTTTTTTTTTTTTCTTTTTAGTACGCCGTCTTATGCAATGGTTGTTTTTTGAATATTTTTCTGTTTTTTACTTAAGCTGGGACACTCAGGGTGGATTTACTGTTAACAGCTTCCTTCTCCTATATCCAGTTTGTTAGAGAGATGAGTCACCTATAAAGGTATCAAGAACATTGCAAAATTGCCTAGGACATTACTTTGAAATTGGAATTTGTGACGAAGGGAAAAGCATTTCTTTGATTTTAAAAAATAAGAGCCATAGCAAGTATTTTGCCTTATTTCAGTTGTCATAAACATTATTAAATTGCCATAAAGTAAAAGTCTAAGACACCGTAGTATAGGCAGAGGTTACCATGACAGCTTGACATAGTAAATTAAGTGTTTGTGCACTGAAACACAGCAAAATGTATTTCATCCTGCTCTAAAAAATATAATTAAATGTGACTTTATTTTCTACAGTCAGATAATATTGTATAGCTGTATATTATATTCTTCATACATACATACATATGTGTGTGTGTGTATGTGTAAAATTATTATATATAATTTATAAATATGATATAATTTATAATAATTTACTCTACCTAGGTCTCCAAGCTTTTTAAGTATAAGGACTCCTTGGTTTATAGCGAGATGGAGAAACATTGTACAAACTGAGTGCTGAATTTTAAGCCTATTGTATTTTGATGTGCATTGTTACTGTATATACTGTATATCTTTTAATTTTAATTTTAATTAAAATATATTTTTAAGAGAGATTCAATGAAACTTTTTCATATATAGTATAGCTTTGGTTGAAATAATTCGTTTTGTTTTATTTATATTTTCTTTTTTTTTTTTTTACTTCTGATCTATACAATATTACAGTATACCAATATGTATATCAGTGTATGCAAAAGAATGTTGAACGTCCACACAATCATCAAGACAATTTATTGTCTACTTCACTGAGTCTTGGCCAGTGTGTTTTATATATAGTGATCTTGATCTGGTGACCCTCTTGTACATGTTCTGGTTCTTTCCAGTCATGTGGGACGTGTTCAGGCTTATCAGGATGTGCTTTAACACTGGCTTTAATTGCAAAGGTTGTGCCCTCAAAACCACTGTGTCTTTTAATTGGTGCGCCGCTGTATTGTGGAGACACACAGGGTACAAGGTCAAAGGTCACAAGGCACTCTCCACAAGAGCGTGTGTAAGCTTAATACTTTTTTGACTCCTTTACAACTCCTTTACACAGTTTATCTCATTTTCTGATGCATTTTTCCTAGTTGTGCTGGAATCAGAAACTGCTAATACTAATAATAATAATGAAAAAAATCTGATGTCTAAGATAAAAATCTAAATATAAGATGGTTATATAGAACTAAAATGTTTTATGAACAGAAAAAAAGTTTCTATGAACTGTTTAAAAGTTTTTTTTTTATTGTCCTATGTGTCTGTGGCGAACACTGAAGTCATTTAGGTTCAGTGTAACAAAATATCTTGATAGTCAACATTTCATTGTATTTTGCATGACAAATATAGCAAAGCACAGCAAATGTGGGAGTAAACATTTTTCAGGTCTAAAGATAAAAGTATGAACATTTTGCACAGAATATTCTATAATAAAACCTCCTGAGTCTTTAGTTTAGGCAATATTTCAGGCAGAATGAAATGCACAAAATAAAAATGCAAAAAGAAAAACTTACAAAAAAAAATATCTACATATATGCACAGTGCAAGATCAGAAGAGCATTTTCAAAATAAGACAGTCTCTGGAATCTCTCAACTAAATGTTTCTAAAATAGAAAAGAAAATCTTACAAAAAAATCACATCTCATTTATCAGCAGAGGGTTTTTTTTCTCTCTCAGTAATAATAAATATGTTTGCGGGATTTCAAGTTGGATCGACATTACGTTGGATTGCGGCCCGGACATAATATATTATTAGGAACATGGATTTTGATGTTACACACAAGAAGAAGTGTTTTTTTTAATCTAATTTTGGAGGAAAAACAGGATTAGAAAATGTAAAAGATTTGCTCAAGACACCAAAAGTATATTGAAGGACTTGATCATATTTGAGTCATTTCAAGAAGATAATAAGACAATCTTTGTACATTATTGATAACATAATCCCCCTTATGGTGGTAGCTTACATGCGCTAAAATGTATTTTTGCATATTAGTGCAAGTAGCAAGTACCCATTCAATGTTGAACTTTCTCGTCGATTTCTTTCCCATGGCAGCGCTGACGTCAGTTTTAATCAAATATGTGGTTAAACAGAAATATGTTTTTGTAGATATATTGAAGAGTCAGAACATAATTGTTTTGTTTCATTGTGTCAGTATCATGCTGAGAGGCATGCAGAGAGGTTACGTGATTGCCCACACAAGCGAACATGTAACCGAAAATTGTGCTTTCTTCAGCAGGAATAGTGAAAATGTTACCTAATCCAACCGCAACCATGCAATCCACATTCATTCTAAGGTGCACAAACCCGATTGTTTTTGTTGTTGGGCAAATATTGTTTCATAAAACCAAAAATGAGCTGAACTATTTGCTCATCCAACAATGTATATTCTGTCTTCATTTACTCACCGTCATGTAAACCTGTATGACTTATTTTTTATCCCATCATTGATATAAAACTTGCCGTGATATGTCTTGATGTGCCATATTTGAATATGTGCAAATGTGAATGATATTTGAGAGTTGCAGCAGATTATCAGTGAGTAATGACTTAAATGTCATATTGTATGGTTTGAGAAGACTGTAAAAGAATACCCCTGTGAAAAAGAAGTGTGCTTAATTGTATTAAATGTGTACTTGTAGTGTACTTAATATCTTAAAAATATGTTAAAATCTAGGTTACACTTTATTTTAAGGTGTCCCTGTTACAGTGTAATTATACATTTAAGTGCTGAGTAATATTAATTAATACATGTACTTACTATAGGGTTAGGATTAGGGTTACTTGCATGTAATTATGCATAATTAATTGTTATTATAATAGTAAGTACATGTAACATGTTTAACAAGGACACCTTAAAATAAAGTGTTACCAAAATCTACTTGTAGATAATAATAACATAAAAGGCTACTTAAGTGTACTTAAAGAGAATACACTTTCATGACTTTTTTAAAAAGTGCACTTTGTAATAATGTCAAATTAAAAGTTTTACTTTAAAGTACATTTAAAACCACTGTTTTAATAACTTTTTGTGCTTTTAACGTACTTTAAAGAAATGCAGATTTTGATGTGTTGACTAACATACTGAAGCACATGTAAAGTACTAGATTATAATTTTAACTGTAGTGTGTTTGTTGAAATTACATTAACTGTACTTAACTGCAACTTTAACATTACAAATGTGTAATTACAAATATATTGAAATACATGACAAACAAGTTTCAATAGAAATAACATTAAAGTATATTTTAGTTTACCATAGATGCTCGTAAATATATTCAACAGTACACTTTAACCATATTTCAAAGAAAAGAGAATTATGAAGTTACATATAAAGATGTACTTAAGTCCTACTTAAGTGGGTCAAGAAATACTCTTAAATTCAAATGGATTTAATAGAAATTTAACTACTAAACTAACTGCAAATAACATTCAAATAGTGGCCACTACAAAACATTGCAGTCAGTTGCACTTAAGTATATTATTTTAAAGTATTGTATTTCCATAATTACATTTTTTTTTATTTGTTGAAGTGTACTTCTTTTTTACAAGGGTATAGACATGTTTTTGTCCTTTTTTGGAGCTTTGCAGTTCTTGGTCACCATTTATTTTTATTGTAAGGAAAGAGCAGCGTGAACATTCTGCTAAATGTCTCAAAAAGTCAGTCATACCGGTTTGAAACACCAGAGCGATGAGTAAATGATGGCATAATTTTCATGTTGGCCAGAACTATAACCTGTCATCACCCTTCATATTAATACTGTAAAGAAGTGGCCATTCACGCAAAAGCAAACTCCTAAAAAACTTAGGCAAATTCATGGCACATCATACAAACAAGCTTTTCGGTTTCCTGTAAAATTGTTTAAAAGTTCCTAAGATTGAACCAGCATTAAGAGGTCACGGGGGGTGTCCGTTCACCTCTGTGGACACCCTGCGCTTGAACCCCGAGTACTCGCCGATAAATGACCCATCTTCGTCGAACTCAGAGCCATCGTCCTCTGACATCGTAGAGCTGTCCTCACTGCTATCATCCTCTTTGATGTCTGTGAACAATTGCTGGCTGCTCTTCAGCGGCTTCTCATCATTGTCACTGTCAAACAGCAAGAAAAATTAGTCAAATTCAGCTCAGAGTGACTAAGAAGATGATACTAGTTGAGGCTGGCAGACAGAGCAGGTGAGGAAGGGTGTAGGGGAAGGATGCAATCACTGCTTTCTGCTAATTACTAACTGCAAAGACTTCAAGGCCTGATGGCAATTCTCAAAACTAGAGAGAGAGAAAATTGCAGAGCGCCGGTCACGCCAGCCAATGAGAGGACCGACTTAAGACACGCTTTGTGTGCCTGTAGACAAACAGCCTGTCAGGTTACTTTAGTCCCTATAGGAATGATGGGACAAACCAAAATTAGCTGCCAATTTGAGTGCAGGCACACTGCCAGCAAGCTGGTGTCTGGAAAGAGACAGGGGGTCACCTCGTAAGCTCCCAATTACTATAAGATGCCAAAACATCTTGGATAGCGATAAAATAAATCCAGACTGAACATTTATTAGGATAAACTGACATTTGTCCTCTTTTAATTTTGGAAATAATAGTCCTGCTGACCACAGGAGAACAATTCACAGTAGGGATTGCATTGCGTCATCTCTCCGAAATATTTAGAGTTAACAACGTGTAGAAATTAGATGTTTTTGCCGATTAATTGGTGCAGATAAAAACTAAAATAACTTCATCAGAACCTGTTGTCATTAAATATCTTATATGTTCACCAAGGCTGCATTTATTTGATCAAAATACAGTAAAAATAGTAATACTGTGAAATAGTTATATAATTTAAAATAACTAATTTTAAAATAATTCCATTTTAAAATAAGAAAAAAACATACATAAATCATTCTAATATGCTTATTTGCTGAACAAGAAACATTTCTTATTATTATTCATGTTAAAAAATGGCTTCATATTTTTGTGAAAATCATGATACATTTACAGTACCATTTAAAAGTTTGGGTCATAAAATTATTTATTTATTTATTTAATAAATACATACATACATAAATGCATACTTGTATTCCGCAAGGATGCATTAAATTTATTTAAAAAGTGACAGTAAATATTTGTTCATCAGAGTCCTGAAAAAAGTATCACTGTTTTCACAAAATTATCAATATTAATAATTGAGCAGCAAATCAGCATATTAGAATGATTTCTGAAGGATCATGTGACACTGAAGACTGGAGTAATGATGCTGAAAATTCAGCTTTGCATCACAGGAATAAATTACATTTTATAATATATTACATTAAATGCACCCTTGCTGATTTTTCCCCCAACACATGCACCCAAAATCATTTAGTTTGTGTGTGTGTGTGTGTGTGTGTGTGTGTGTGTGTGTATTTCAGTAACTGACAGACTCATTTCAATTTCTTTTCTCAGTTTGGTTATCAGTATTTGCAAAATCCTTTATCAGTCATCCTGTAATATCTATAATTTCTTAGCATCCCATAATTCAATGCACTATATCATGTTACAGTGCATCAAATTAATATCACCAATGGTGTAACACGATAAACCCTCTCTTCTGTTCCCAAAAGTATAATAAATCAGTAGCCTCCTTGTGCAAGCCAGAGTAATGCAGTTTTGAAAGCCTCTGAGGCTACTGTCATACTCCACAGCTGGTACGGGACGCACTTCCCTATCTGGTTTCTTCGGTTAGCAGATGTTTGAGTGTCTGGTGCTGTAACTCCCCAAACAAGGGTAGCGTACAGATCAGACTCCGAGCCTCTGCTGAAGCTGCATTTCTTTCCTGAGGGAGGAATAAAACGGGCATCTCTGTGTCTAAGTGTAATGAGATGGAAACACATTTATGGATTCGAGCTACTCCATTTGCAAGTATACAAGTTAACTGCACGCAGCCCCGCTTTTAGCTCGCCTCTGGTCTGTTTTCCACGCAGGTTTTTTTATTGTGCCACTTTTCACTTTGCACCTGGGTGTAACAGTTTCAGAGTCATGATTGGTTGTTGTTTTTCCAACATTAACTACACACCCTTTTTTTTTTTTTTCTTTTTAATCCAACAAATTTCCATCACATTTCCAGTCATTCCTGATGGTTTAAATATACACTACCATTTAAAAGATTATATATATATATATATATGAGCAATATCACTCGAATACGAGAGTGATATTGCGTTTATACAACAGTTCGACGGAACGTGTGTAATAAAAAAAGAAACAACGGAGTGCCTAATAAAACCCTCTTTTGTGCGGAACTACTTCCTTCCGCCACGGATTCAAAGCTCAAGTTGACAGTTAAACATACGTCACTTTTAGAATTTGTATCAAGGGCATGTGCTGCTTCAGTTAGGTTATTAGTGAGAAATAATGAGGTTATAAGAGAGAAACAATGCGGCAAGACGTGCATCCAAATGAGAGAGAGAGACCACGAAGCTAGACGTTTCTTCTTATATTAACTAATGTACTCTACGATTAGCTCAGTGAATAATAAAAAAAAAAACATAGACCCGGCTAGAACAAGCGGAGTGATACAAAATTGTGAAAGGGCGTTCCTGTAGTGATACCAGTACAATATCTCACGGTTCTCAACCAATCAAATTTGAGAACCAGAACGATATATATATATATATATATATATATATATGTACTTTTGAAAGATCTCTTATGTTCACCATGGCTGCATTTGTTTGATTGAAAATACAGTAAAAACAGTAATATTTTGAAATATTGTTATAATTTAAAATAACTATTTTATATTTGAATATTTTGAAATGTAATTTATTCCTGTGATTCAAAGCTGAATTTTCAGCATCATTACTCCAGTCTTCAGTGTCACATGATC